TTACTATCTGTACTTAGCCAAAGTAGAGGGAGCAAGAGGTCCAGCTTTTCCAAGAGAGGGTCCAAAGCTCTGGAACACCCTCCCAAAGGAGAGTGTGGAGGAGGCTATCCTCTTATCTTCACATTTCAGAATAAATCTCCACTTTTTTGCATAGCAACTACTGCCCAATCACTCTCCCCGCCCCCCACAATAAACATAGCCCTTTTTGACCACAGTGGATGACAACTCATCACGGCAAGCCACAGAAGACTCAATTTCAGGATGGAGGCAGCCTAGATTAACCAGGCTACTCACCCCCCAGAAAACTCTTTTGTCCCCTGAGAGCTTGCTAGGCAATCTGTATTTTACAGAGAATCAAAAAGAAAGGGCAAGCAAAGCAGCCAGCCCTCAGCCAAATAAGAACAGAGCCTCCCTCTGGCCAACCAGCACCCTGTACGGGATCATATACGCTGCTCAGATTTACCTTAAAGTGCATGTCACTGTCATGGCTTCTGCACCAAATTACTTTCATGGATAAAGGCAGCTGACTAGAGGGGGTATAGCTCAGCGGTAGAGCATTTGACTGCAGATCAAGAGGTCTCCAGTTCAAATCTGGGTGCCCCCTTTCAAAGCTAGTTTTTGGGGGTCAGGCTAGATGATCTGTTCAGGTCCCTCCTGACCCTGGCTACTATGACATCAGGCATTTAGTCTCCTAGGTCCTCAACCCTCTAGGAGTATCAGCTCCTGCCCCCAGTAGTCCAATAACATGTACATTCACAGCTCTTTTAGGAACAGTCTTTGTGCTGAATCACTTGCTTTTGTAATGCATTTCCAAACTGCTTTAATTGCAGCAAATTATTTCTCTTAGCAAGGTCTCTCAGGAGAGTTAACAGGGGTAGTGTCATAAACCAGGCAAAGGCTCCATCAGGACTTGAAAGGGGTCCCCTAGGCCATCAAGTCTCCATGGTGGCAGGCTACTACTTGTACAAAGCATCCACAGAATCATTCACTCTATCCCTCATACACCACAGCCACAGAGCACCCTACTTCATGCCACAGGTGAAAAGCAGAAAAGAGAAGGGCACCACCAATGCCTTAGAAGAGAATTTGCTAGAATTGTTTGAGCTACTTTTATCTGGGAGGACTGTTTGCACTACTGAAAAAGACAATCTGTCCACCGCCAAGACTACTACAAAGCAGACCCAAAGGAAAAAAAATTCTGTCTGGAATTCAGAGCTGGCGACTGGTTTTCAAACATATGAACAAAACCCTCCAGGCACCTGAGGGGCTTCCAAGTAACAGCAGGAGGCACCAGTGCAATCCAGGCAGACTTGCACTGATCATCACACCAAAACACAAACAGGTCTGGAGTTTAATTAGATTTCATGAAGCAATACCTTCAAGGCCAAGATGCCACTAAAAACTCCCAAATTTCTAGGAGAGCAGCACCTGCTCCTCCCTCCTCACCACCTTAAACTGCAGGTACCCATTCAGCAAAGTCCAGGTGATTTTAAAACATGCTGTTACCACATACAAGTAGGTGTAAGTGAGCCCCTGTGCAGATCAGTGATATGTATTGATCAACTACCTATTTTCTAAATCCATGAAGGTTTTATAGTTGGGTTTCTCATCCACCTGGGGGATAGGAAAAAACAGGTAGGCACAATCACAAACTGGATTGCTAAGCCACTTCAGGTTTGGCACTTCCTTCTCTGAAGTCTACTTTCATTTCAACATACAGAAAAGTTTTACATTGTCAGCAGGAGAAAGGCACCAGCTCGTGAGATGCGATCGTCGTTTGGAGCAATGTTCTAATTCAGCATAGCAAGTCCTCCTACTTCAGCAGAGCAGTTGAATGTCTTATGCTACAACTCCTCCTCCTTCCCTCTGAACAAAGGCAGCCTGTTGCAGTCAGTGCATCTGTAAGAAGCTTCTCTTCTGACTCAAGCCACTGCAAGCTCTCTACTAGTTAGAAGCCCTGCAACTTCAACAGCTTTCATAACATGCAGTCTAATATCACAAACTCAGTTACCACATTTAAACAGAGGCAGATTGCTAGCTTCCGCTAAAGCATTTTGAGGCCACAAGGCAGTATGTAGTTTCCACACAGGATTAGCAACTGGGCAAAGCAGGTCTCCACAGCAGGGGTTTAGTAATCTGCTAAAACAATTGCATTAGAAGAGACTGCATAGGAGGGATGTTACCCAGGAAAGACAATGCCTATCTGCTAGTGACATCAATTGTCAACCAAGGCCTGTAACAGAACACTTTTAACTTTCCTGGACATTCCATTGCTGACTTCAGGATTGTTTTAGGCAGCAAAATTTTAAGCAGCTTGAATGGAAAGTTGTGGAACAAGAAATTGTCCAGACTAGATTAAGTACAGCTTCAACAGGCACAGCTGATTCTTACCCCATTACCCAGATCAGTTTTTGACAGACCTTTGTTCCCTCCCTCTCCCTTGCCATCTTTTGTATTTGAATCACCCACTCCGCTCTATAGCCTCCTGCTCTATGCTGTTCTTCCACAGCATCTGAGCTCAGTTTAAGCATCAGTTGGGCAACTTAAGAGTGCTAAAAACCCAATACAGTGCCTGTGAAAAAAGGGGAGTGGAAATACAACTTCTCATTGAGGGTGCCATCTGCTATTCTAGCAGAGGAATTTGCATATGGCTAAATGAATACTCATAGCTTCATTTACTGGTTTCAAGCTGTCAAAAAGGGAAGAGGAAACATAATTGTGCTAGGCTTGCATTTTGCCATCCTGTTCAGCTAGCAGTGTTCATATTATGCAACAACAACAGGCTACAGCAAGCAGGGATCTTCTCAAGTCCTTGGTTCAAAACTCCCATTAGATTAAAAGTTGTACTATCACATAGGTTCCTTGTCTCATCTGCTTATATTGTATTTAGTTAATTATTACAAAGACTGTAAGGTTTAGTTGAGCAAGGGACTTCCATGTAGTGTCTATTACTGTGAGACCCAACAACAAAGTTTTGCTTGGTACCTAAGAAAGCTGTAGGAGTGAATAAACATCGCAAGTAAGCTCAATTAAGACAAGCAGTTTGCAGGATCATTTCCACCCCACACACTTTCAAAGGACTCCACTGTTTTACTTAAGAAAGGTGGTGTGTGCGCGCATGCGTGGATTAAAATATGGCAAGAACACTTAAATCCCATGTCTGTAGTAGCTGAAGATCTTCTGACAGTAATATGGAACTGAATCCATGGAGGCCAATGCTTTTGAAAACCATTTTTATTTAAATAAGACTTTAAATACATTACATACAACATTAAAACTGAAACCAAAATTCTGTTACTTCACAGGGCATTGGGCAGCAGTGGCTAGTAACAGGTAAGCTCTGCAGCTATATCTACAATAACATTTGTTAACATTAATTTCAAGATTGATCCCTTGTCAAAAGTTTAATCCAAGGTTATGTTTCCATCCAGTACTTTACCCCCTGTATCTTTGGGCTTAACAATAATCTGTGTCTGGCCAAACCTGAAGTCCAAACATTCCACCCTGGAGCAGTCACTCTAGTTTGCTCCAAAAGGCAAATTTCTGCAGTTACTCTTCTTGGTCAGTCAAGATTCCCCAAAGCCATCTACCTCCAGAAGCAAGTACTGCCTACAGGATGCTATCTTCCCATTCAGTGTCACAGCTCACGTTTGGTGCTTTATTCCATTTAGGACCACTGCAGGCACCTTATTAAGTATTAATGTCCATTGAAATGGAAAGGAAGCTGGACTCAGAAGAGATTCAGGCAGTTTCTGGACAGACATATTGAGTCCCTGGACTTATCTGAAAGCATCTGGTTACTTCTAGCTCCAGGCAGGGCACTACCAAATGCCTGATTTACCTCTGTTTAAATGAGGAAATGCAAGACGAGACAGCATGGGCTCTTGTCAGTTTATTACATTGAGTTACACTAGTCCAGACTAAGAGAGTGGACCCAAGATTGTTACATTACACAAGCCGGCAGGTTTTAAACTTATGACAAGGGACAGAAGCGAATTTTACTCATTGCAAGGAAATCTTCTTGCATAAAGCTTCAGTAACCCACAGGCTCTTAAAACCCATGGACCTTCAGCTGGTCGTCTTTAGCCAGTCCAATCTGGGGGGGGAGGGGGGGGAAGAAAGAGAGAGAGATACACTTTTTACAACACAAATAAAAAGAACCATTCACATCCTGGCAAATTATTCCTACTCTCTCATTAGTAAAGAAGGGCAAGACATCTAAGAACAAGTAAACCAAGTTCTCAAGAACAAGGTTTTGTTTTCTATGGTGACCATTTTAGCTATACAAAGTATTAGAAACATGCAGGCAACTCTTCCCCCAAGTATATAACCTTGTTCTTTGATATGAAGTAGCATCAGAGCTAACTTTAAGTTATGATTAAGCCACAGAAGCAACTTTTTTTTTTTTTTTTTAAAAGAGATTCTGTACCTCTGCAGCCTCACTGCTTCATTTTAAGAAAGGACAATCAACTCCAGGATCACCTTACCTCAATGAGGAACTGACATATGTTCTTGCGCTGGTCGCCTTGCAGCTGAATCACTTCTCCATACTCTGGATGTTCAATCACAGTACCATTGCAGGCAAATTTCTATGAGCAAAGACAGCACCCTTTAGTGTTGTCACCACAAAAAAAAAAGTGCCAGCAAAGCGTTTCTCAGGCACTAGCCGGCTAATCCTCCCCCGGGGTATGGAAGTGACCAAAGCAAGTGAAGTCTTTGAACTCAGCCTTAAACTTGCTTGGACTGGAGACTACAACACTCACCTTCTTAAAGGCTTTCACTAGTTTCTTTTTATCGTAATCATCCGCAATGCCCTGGACAGTGGTGAGGGTCTTTCTACCGTTCCTCTGCTGGATCCTTATATGGATGTAGTCCTCAGTCCCAGCAGGAAGCAAGTCATCACCCTTACTTGCATCAGCAAAGGGGTCTGCGGGGTAGAGGCTGCGTTTAGCCGAGGGCCCGGCCAGGAGCGCTCCCCTCCAGCCACGGCCCGCCCCACCGAATGTGACGCGCCGCCGAGTCGGCTGCCCATTGGGCCGCAGCGCGAGGCCCCGCCCCCTGCTGACGCAACCCAGCCCGAGAATAGTAACTGCGCCACCGCGAAGCCCCGCCCCGCCAGCCCGCAGCGCCGCGCCCGACCCCCTCCCGGAGCCCGGCCGCCATCTTGCCGCCGCGCCAAGCGGGCGGGGCCCAGGCACTCACCAAAGGGTTGGAGGTTCTGGATAGTGGACATACGATA